CTTCTCAAAGTTCCTACCGCAATCCTACAGTAATGAAGAGGATTTTTGATCGCACTATAATGCGAGGATTTTGGATTCACACTATATTGTAAATCTAAGTTGATGCCAGCGCTGCATATTGGTACCTAAAGTTTCTCGAATGACTCTATTACAAAAGTTACTAACAATCAAACAGTAGGCACGTTTTTATAGTTTTCTGCGATTAAAGTCGTTCAGGAAGAGTGTTTGAAGCAGCCTAAGAATGAGATGAGACTGGGGAAAAACTGTATAGATGGGATAAAGGAGGGATAAGGGCTAACGCCAGAACAACCTAATCCGGATTTGCTGCATGGATGTTATGTTTGTGTAATGCTTGATGAGAACGGTGATTTTGAGGGGGATAAGTTGAAAGTTATGTTCAAGAAAGGTCAGCGATTGTAACTGGAAAACAGCTTAGATATCTGTTGACTAGTGGATGCATAGCTAAAGTGTACAGTAACCATGCACAAAAATTCCAAAATTGTGTTGAATGTGACTGAGCATTTTTTCTCCCATGACATCTTTTCCAGCTTAACTGTCGACCAACGAACCCAGATTTTAGCGAATATGTATGTTACTCACTACTTGCATTTCTTCTGCCTTCGTATGATAACAGTTTGCAAATCATCTTCAAGCGCTCTATCAAAACTAGCACTACCTAGGTCGAGGCATGGTTTTAGAGAACCAGCTATTGCGGTAGCGATACCACTCGTTCGTGACTCACGGCCTGACATCGCAGCCTGGCCTGCTCCACCGCAAAACGTGCCGCTAACTTGTATCAGCGGAAATGTACGGTAAGTGCCGTGTAATGCACGAAGGTACTGTAAGGCTTAGTGCGCGACTTTTCAGAACCCCTACAGCCGGACCACCCCGACAATCCATCTCACCAGTTCCTGTTTCGCCGGCATCGAACAGTGGCAGCACTCAGGCAGAAATCGAAGATTCTACTACTTTATTAACTATGTTGAAAGTAGCTGCCGCATCTAATGCCAATGGTAGGATTACGGACAATGAACCACTAAAAGGCAACTGAACTTCATTAAACTAAGTATTTCCATATGATGCTTATGCTTCTTGTGCTTTGCCTTGGTATAATTGAGTTCAGATCGTGTTTGTAGGGTTTATTCAACGAAATAGCAAAGGAATCCCGACTTTAGCAGTTACAGGGGTCCCTCGCGGCCGGGAAACTGAGCTGAAGCGAAAAATCCAGACGCTTGAGGAAACAGTAGCTGAATATGAACGGCAGAAGTACAATGTAATGGGAACCTTTAGCGAGTACAGGTATCAACAACTACATGTTCACAAAAAACAGAAGAGAATGGCTCGATTTTCTAGAGAACGTGTGGCTGAACGTGAGCGCAAACTGGAAGCAGAATATTCGAGCAAAATCATAGCACTTTCCGAGGAAGTGCTAGGAGCGAAGAAGGATTTCGAAGCACGAATGAAGAGTTTTCAGGCGCTTCAGGTTTGTTTATGTCGAGGGGATTAGGATAACATTCTGATCAAGTCTAATGGAATACTCGCCGACGAGCCTCGTGGCGTACTCACCTAAGAGTAGATTATACGAAGTTATCTCCAGGATAAGTTCGAACGTGAGAAGGAGCAGGCTCTAGAGAAACTCCGCCAGGAACACCAGAAGGAGATTCAGCTTTTGGAGCAACGCTTCTCGGAGTCCCAGCTACTGAATTTGGAGCAAAAGTATGCATGTTTATCATTGCGAAATCCATGACTGCCTAGGTAAACATTTATTCAGGTATATGATTGAAATTCAAAGACTAGAAGAGGAACGAAAATCGCTACGATCGGAAAAAGAGCGTTTAGGAGAAACATTCGAGATGAAACTACGACGAGCGCAGTCACTTTACGAAACAGAACTTACAGCGGCTAAAATGCTCTATACAAAAGAACTGGAAGCTCTCAGAGATCATGAAGAAGCTTTGAAGGAGGAATTATTAGCGAGGTATGGATGCGAGAATGTTACAGTTTTTCTGTTTTCTAATTTTGCCACTACTATCGACCAGAAAAGAGTGGATTCAGGCAGGACGAGTTCCACGACCGTCTTCAAGAGCTGCAGCACCAAGCCCGCAGGAGCCGTGATGAGTTAGCCAGCTGCAAGAACGAAGTGACTGCACTGGAAAGGAAGCTCCAGTCAAAGGAAGCGGAGGTTCAGGCTATCAGCAAAGAGGTGCAGCTGGTTCCACTAGACCTTCATAATCTCTAAGACACTAGCTCTCGTAATCGTCTTCCTCCCTCTTTTAGCTCGAGGATGCAAGAGCTGAAACAAACGATGCGCTCAGGCGCCTTTCCCAATCAACTAGCGAGTACAATGAACATAGAGCTAAGCTCCAACAACAAGAGGAGGAATTAAAGAAAAAATCTAGTAAGTCAGGATACAAATTCTCGCAACCGCTTTCCATACTCTCGTTTCAGAGTTGCTGAATGTGGTCGAAGCAGCGAAGACTAAGCTTGAAGGAGTCATTCGTGACCTTCAAACTGAAGTGCGAGCGCTAAAGAACAAGGTACCCTCTCCTGAATAGGAATCTGTGACGTTTCAAGTTTCATAACTTCGCCTGTGACAACTCTGATTAGTAAATGCTTACGGCGGCGCGTCACTAAGTCCGGATTTCCTACCAAATCCGGACAGAACTCAAGCATCAACCAGGCGGAAACTTAAATGTGAACGCTGTAGACGTCTGAGCTGAGCATTTATACCCCAAGATCGTAGAATCGCCGCATAATGTATTTTAAAATTATCTATGTTCAATGAGGGAGAATAGTCGAACCAATGTGAGCTTTACCTAGGTTGAGTTTCTGGAAAAAGAGCGCGAAAATCTCCAAAGCCAGAGCGAAAGCCAAACCAAGTTGCAGAACTCGCAAGTGAATGCCCTCGAAGCTGTGAGTTCTGAGGTCATCAACAATTTTCACACCATCATTACAGAGCTCATTGGTTTCTTAAGGTTTTGGAAAGTGTTACAAAGGAAAAAGAAGCCACTAAGGAGCATTACGAAAGCTTACTTGCGAAAGAGAGACAGCAGGCAAGCCACGAGTGATTTTCTACTTGTAGTCTAACCTTCCGAGTACAGGCTGAAGCACGAGAGCATGCTATGAAGAAGGAGTTCAGCAGCAAGCTCAACGAGCTTGAGGAGCAGTACACCAGTCTCAAAGAAGACCTGGAGCATTCGGCTAGGCTAGATAGGGACGAGCTGAGAGAGGCATGCCAGTTCTTACTAAGATATCGTGTAAATGAAAGTGTTGCAGGCTACTCAGCATGAGATACAGACTCTCAAGACGGAAAAATCCTTGCTTGAGGCAGAGGTCACGGCGCTGAAGCAGAAATTTTTGGATGAAGGAGAGTCTGAGGTAAGAGGGGG